TGGTAATTTTATGTTTAGCTTTTTGAGGAACCACCAACTGTTTTCCTTAGTGGCTGCACCACGTAACGTTCGCACCGGCTCTGAACAAGGGTTCTGATGTTTGCACCTCCTCACCAATACCTCTTTTCCGTTTCTTTGATCACAGCCATCCTGGTGGGTGTAAAGTTAACTTCTCTTTATGTGAATTGATTTAACCTCTAATTTCAACTTTGCTCATTACCCTGATTCTCTGCAACAAAGAAGAAATTGAGAAATGACCCAGAAAATGAGATTTCTTCTTCCTTCGTCTTTGATCCTGTCTCTTTATCTTCCTAAAGTCCTGGAGTGTCGAAGTCAGAACTCCCCTTTAAGGGAGGGGGGCAGGAAGCCTGCTTCTCCCACTCCCACTACCCCTGCTTGTGTTCCCTCTCTCACGGGGTCGAGTTGTCAAATAAATAAAATCTTAAAAAAAAAAAAAAAAGAACATAAGTCCTTGAGGGGCGCCTAGTAGCTCAGTCAAGTGTCTGACTCTTGACTTTGGCTCAGGTCATGATCTCAGGGTCATGAGATCAAGCCCCACATTGGGATCTGTGCTCCAAGTGGAGTCTCCTTGAGATTCTCCTTCTCCCTCTGCCCCCATCACTCTTGATTTCTCAAAATAAATAAATAAAACCTTAAAACAAAACAAAACAAAACAAACCATAAGCCCTTGAGAGCGGGAACTTGGTGCTGTACTTACAACATTCCCAGGGCTTAAAACACTGCCTGGCACATAGTAGATACTCCGTATTAGCTGTTAAACATGCACCAGCAACCGAGGGAAGGCCTAAGATAGCAGCTCTCAGACCTTAGTGAGTATACAAATAATGTTAGGAACACAGATTCCTGTCCTCGTTCCTGGTGATGCCAAGGCAGGTGGTCCTGTTACTCTGAGAAACAATGCTGGAAAAATGGTTCCTGGTACCGTGGCAGAGGCTGGCTGACCACTACTCCTGCCCACTCCTGGGCTGGGAATTCCCCACAGGCTGAGGTTGGAAGCCTGACCGGCAGATGGGGAAGCCTATGTCCACACCCTTAAAAGGGAAAGAAAGCAGGCTTCCTGCAATCCTGTCCTCTAGAACCTAGTGAAATCTGTGTGGAGAAATCACCCAGCCTGGGGAAGGCTTGGAACACCAGCTAGGCCGGGCGGGTAGGGTGGAGAGGCCAAGGAAATGGGCTAGCTCCCCATCTCTACCGGTGGCTGGTACTGGGCACTAACTTCTGGAATCCCAGGGTCACCAAAAGGCATTCCTTACACCTTAGAACAAGCACCAGCATAGCGTGCTGGGCGAGTTGCCTCTCAGCTTCCCAGGACCCCGAGGGCCTTACCAAGGACCTTGCTCTAAACTAAATCCCCGATTTTATTTTCTACCACTCACCCTGGCATACTTATGCTACATCCATTTTCCTACACACACCAGGTGATTAAAAATCTGAGCCTTATTCACACTCTTCTGTCTGGAATGCCAAGCGTCCTCTGCCCCCATCTCCTCCCTTCAAGGCCCACCTCAATGCCACCTTTTCCATGGAGCCTCCCCACATCATCCTGGCTGGTCATATGTGGACCCATACAATTGGTCTTTGTACCCAGGACTTCTGTCTCCTACCAGATATGAGCAGACCGTGTCTCTATCACCCACCCACTCGACAAACACTGAGCAGCTTCTAAGAACCAGGAACCCACATGCTGATGCTTTCATAGCAAATCAGTGTCACAACCAACAATCTGCAGCCCCCACCCATCGGGGGTAGACAGAGGCACTAAGCGGGGAAGTGGCAGGTATCAGGGAAGAGGGGAACCCCTTACCCAGTCTGGGCAGGATCAGCTTCATGGTGTCACAGACAGGTACCACATGATGGACAGTGTGAGTGAAGGAGGGAGCACCACGGGGCCCCAGCTGCACCTGGCGGCGGAGAGGAACCCGCAGGTGCAGCTTTCGCAGCAAGTACAGTGACTCCTGAGCACTGACCTGAACTGGGAGCAACTGCTGTCTGGACGAGGGATCCGCCCCCAGACAACTGCTCCACAGGTGGGGGGATCAGGGTGGAGAATTTCCCCCCCGGGGGCGGAGGAAGCAGGCTCAGTCCTCCTGTGCTGGCGGGCCGCGCTCGGGGAGTCCCAGCTGCTCCTTCCTTCTTCTTCATGTTCTGAAGAGAGGCGAGGGATGCAAACCAGTCAGTTCTGCTGGGGTCCCCCTGCTTATCGGAAAACCCCACAAAGAGGGCCCAGGTGGCCCCCAAGCCCCAAACGTCTGTATAACCAAAAGATGGTCAACAGCTGCCCAGCACTCACTGTGGTGAGCTGTGTTCAACACCTCACAATTCCAGAGCTATCCCAAATACATCTAATGCGAAAACTCAGCCCTGGGGCGCCTGGGTGGCTCAGATGGTTAAGCGTCTGCCTTCGGCTCAGGTCATGATCCCAGGGTCCTGGGATCGAGTCCCACATAGGGCTCCTGACTCGGCGGAGTCCCACTGCTCATGCTCTCTCTCTCTCTCTCTGTATCTGTGTGTCTCAAATGAATAAATAAAATCTTTAAAAAAAAAAAAAAAGAAAACTCAGCCCTGGCTTCATTAAGCATCAGGGAATACAAATTAAAACTACAAATCAAAACGAGTGCTATACCATTACACACCCACCAGAATGGCCAAAATGCAGACTATCAAGTGCCAACAAGGATGTGGAGCAACCAGAACGCTCACTCACACACTGCTGGGGGAGGTGTAAACGGGGAACGCTACTTGGAGAAACTGTCTGGAAGAATCTATAAAGCTGAACATGTGAACTGATGACCCTACAATTTTCCTCCTAGAAACAGACCCCACAGAAACACATACTCATGGCACCGAAAGACATGTACTTGGACGTTCATAGCCATTACTATTTGTAATAGCTCCAAACTGGCAACTATCCCAGTGTTCACTGTCAGTTAAAGAGTAACACTGGGGGGCGCCTGGGGAGCTCAGCTGGTGAAGCATCTGACTCTTGGTTTTGGCTCAGGTCATGATCTCAGGGCTCAGGTCGTGGGATCGAGCTCCATGTGGGGCTCTGCGCTCAGCAGGGAGTCTGCTTGAGGATTCTCTCTCCCTCTCCCTCTGCCCCTCCTCACCTCAAATAAATAAATAAATCTTAAAACAAAACCCACAAAGAGTACCACTGTGATGCATTCTCACAATGAAATACACCACTACTGTGACAATGGACAAACTATTAGCAACAGAACAGAGGCAGATTTTGTTTGAAAACAAAATCTAGGGCATTCCACATCAGGACCGTGGTGACTCTGTCCTGTGGACAAGAACAGGAGAGGGGCTTCCAGAATGCAGATAATCTCTGCTTCTTGATCTGGGGGCTAGTTTGTGTGGGTACATTTGGTTTTCAAAAATTCACTGAGTTCTGCATTTATAATGTGTGCACTTTTCTGTATGCATATCGTACTTCCATAAAACATTAAAAAAAAAAGGGGCGCCTAGGTGGCTCAGCCAGTTAAGCATCTGACTTCAGCTCCAGTCATGATCTCAGTGTCCTGGGATTGAGCCCTCCATTGGGCTCCCTGCTCAGTGGGCAGTCTGCTTCTCCCTTTCTCTCTCCCCCTGCCCCTGCCCCTGCTCTCAAGTAAATAAATAAAATCTTAAAAAAAAAAAAAAAGAAAATTAAAAACAAAAACCAAAACCTGAGCCCTGATGTGAGCCGGAAACCAGTGCAAGTTACAAAGATGAAGACACAGTTCCCACCTTGTAAGGAGCAGCAGCTTAATCCAGCACTAAGACCACAGCCCTGAAGCCAGAAGCCTCAGAGCCCTCAGTCAGAGTCCAGCTGTGCTGGTTATTTCCAGCTCTATGACCTGGGCAAATCCCTTAAACTCTCTAAGCCTCATTTCCTTGCCTGTAAAATGGGAGAATGCTTAATTCATATAAGTGCCTTAAAAAAAACAAAACAAAAAAACCACTACCTGGCACACAGCTGATGCTCATTAAATGTTAGTTTCCTCCCAGCAAGAGAGGAATCACATCCCAACCAGTCCACTGGACATGACCTGTATTTTCTCTTAAGGGCCAGTTGGCCAACGTCAAGGGTCCCAAATCATCACCAGCATGAAGCAGAAAAGAGGAGAAAGAGATAGTAAATAAAGAGTAAGTAAAGAGGAAGAGCATTATCTTAGGGTTACAAAGTTTCTTCAAAAAACATTTCCATGTGGTCCTTGGTTCCCCCAAATCACTCCAACCCCCACTCCCTGTAGTCCGGTGAGGACCGAGTCCTGGACACCCAGCCCAGCCCTACCTTTTCCCATTCTCCACAGGAGCTAACAAGGGGAAACCCAGATGCAGGGCAGCTCAAGATGAATACACGGGGTGTCAGGACACCACCACCACCAGCAGAAGCTGCCCACGAATCCCAGCACCTACCTCAACACCTTCCTGTCCAGAGCTCTCCCAAATCTTCCTTACTCGAGGTGCAAGGCCAGGATGCAGCTGACCCCTATTCTAAGAGCCTGGTCAGAAATGCCAGCTCTGGGAGCAAGTGACTGATGCTTCTTTTCAACTCAGAGGCTTTGCACATGCTGTTCCCTCTGCTTGAACCGCCTTTTGATCCCCCTCTTTCCCCTTCCTTACAGGTCACTTCTTCCAGGAACCCTTCCTTGCTTCCCCTAACTATGGGCTGCGTGCCCCTCCTCTAGGAGCTCATGGCACTGCGCTGCATCCCCTCCCCTGCCAGGTTGTGGTCATATCTCGTCTCGCCCATCTCCGTTTAACTCTGAGCTCCACGAGAGCAGAGCTCTCTCGTTTACCCCCGGCACAGGACCTGGCAAAAGGCCGCTGATCCACAAACATCTACTCAACTGATGGAACTGAAGGGTGGGAAAAGAGGGGTGGGCTCTGGGCTGGGGTTGGGTGCTGGCCAACAAAGCCAAGTGAGGGTGGGACTCACCGCGATGTTGAGCTTGATGGTCTGGCCCTCTTTGAAGCCTAGGTCCAACTTGGGGCCCTGGTCTGGGTTCTGGGCCTGTTTTGCAAATTCACACTGCTGTTTCACCCACCTGGGCAGAGAATAAGAAGAAAAAGGTGAGGAAGAGACCAGCCGCCCTGCATTCACTCCCTCACTCCACCTCCACCTGCCATCGCTCCAGGAAGAGGTTTTATATGGCAGAAAGAGCACACGCAGGCTTGGAAGTTGGGCCTGAATTCAAATCCTGACTCTGACACATAAGTAGCTGCGTGCACATCAGTTTCCTCATCAACAAAATGGGAATACAATTCTGTATGTGTTAAAGAAAGCTATGAAAATTCAGTGAGCTCATGGATGTAAAAGAAGGTCCTGACACCAGTCTTCAGGAAATCTGAGAACCTGGCCCTTTCCTCCCTAGCACTTGGCATGAGGACTAGGACAGTGCATCCACACCCCCCACTCACAAGGACTCATAAGGTAGATGGTGAGACAAGACAGATGCCCAGGAAGTAGAAAGCAACACAAAGGTCCCCCCCACCCTCCACACCATACCCATCTAGCAGCCCCCTGGGCAGGGACAACAGGCCAGGCAAGGGCCAGACGTGCCCACATGAGTCGCTGCACAAACTCCAACTTCCCAGCGGCCAGAGATGGAGGCCTGCAGGTGGCAGGGGAGCAGTCTTTCCTGCCCTTGTCTTAGCTTTAGAAAGGACTCCCAGGACATATCACGGAGGAACAGGCTCAGGAAGGCCCCATGAGCCTCCCATGAGCCTCCCACGGCCTCCGGCTCCTCTGGTGCCGGTAAGGGAAGAGGTATGGCAGCTCAGAGGCTGGGCCCGCTGACCAGTGAGAGACAGGGCCAGGGGAAAGGGAAAGGACTGGAAAGGAGAGAAGGCAGCCTGCCCCACAGGAGCAGGGAGTCTCCCGGAGGCTCTGCTGGCAGACGAATCCCACACAACCAGCTGGGTATCCTAAGCTGGGAAACCATTCTGTCCAGGGAAAGCAGGGAGGAGGCATGAGCACGTGTGGCCTGGAACCACTCACTTGAAATGGTCCTGCAATGCAACATTGAAGTCAAAGGCATCGCCTCGGTCCCCGAAGCCAATTCCAATAAACGCCCGGCGTCCTGGGGACAACACATGATTAATCCCACTTGCCAGAGGCAGAGGAAACCCTTCTCATGAGGAGGACCCCCCCGAGACCCGCACCTACCGTTTCCATCTTCGATGCGGATAACGAAGTACCTGCTGGAATCCGTCACGCTCTCCACGGCTGTGCCAGGAAACTGATCCACCGGGGCCTGAGCGAAGAGCTCCCCTGGAAGCACAAGTTAGGGTGAGCCTTGAGCCCCCTTCCAGCCTGACATTTCTATCACACCACTGGGGTCTTTTTCCTGAAAGGCAGCGAGGCAAACCTTACTCTGGGGTTCAAATCAAATCCATTCTGATGGAAGAGAAGACACAGACCTATAACCAAGGAAAGGTTTAAGTCAGGAGTGGCCTGCAGGTCAGATACAGCCCAGTGTTAATATTCTTAATTTAACTGCCAAACTTTTCAAAACCAAATTACATGTAAAATAATCCAGATTTCTGGTCTTCTCTGACAATCCAAAGCTCTAGCAATGCTGGAACTCCATTCCCACAGGAGGGCTGAGCTAGAGCTGACCTGCCCACACCCGAGGGCCCCGGAGCAGGCAGGCCCTGGTCCAGGTACAGCACAACCTCAGAAAAGGCCTGGGACCTGAGGCAGGACTGTAGAGGAGCCGCGGAATCCACTGAAAGAGGGTTTGGGCACCTACAGAAGAATGTGAAGCAGGGGCGCCTGGGGGGGCTCAGTCGGTTAAGCGTCTGCCTTCGGCTCAGGTCATGATCCCAGGGTGCTGGGATAGGGTCCTGCGTCGGGCTCCTTGCTCAGCGGGGAGCCTGCTTCTCCCTCTGCCTGCCCCTCCTCCTGCTTGTGCTCTTTCTCTCTCTCTGACCAATAAATAAATAAAATCTTTAAAAAAAAAAAAAAAGAGGAAGAGGATCTGAAGCAGCTGAGATAGGCCAAGAGGACCACCGGTTTTAAAAGGGGCCCCTGCGGAACACATCCCTTGTCACTCCGGCTCTCTAGGCCCCAGTGCACTGCACACCTCTGGGGGCGTTCTGGACTCGCATCACTTCCACAGGTGCTGACCTCTGTCCGCGCTTCCAGGACTTGACCAAGGCTTCTCTACTCAATGCTGGGGTTCACAGGTGACTGTGCAATCAAGGCTGAACTGAATCCAAATCGGTGGACCCCAAGTCTGTAGCTTCTTGATAATTTCTCTGCTCCCCTAGTTTGGTCCCTGGGGATCTGGGACTCACCTGGACGCCTTTGGCCTAGAGCAGTGATTCTCAACCAAGGGTGGTTTTGCTCCCTATCCGCGCCCCCCCCCAGGGATATGTGGCAATGTGTGAAGAGATTTTTGGTTTTCACAACTTGGGCGGTGCTATTGGCATCTGGTGGACAGAGGCCAGGGATGTTGCTACACATCTGAAATTTGACTTGACAGCCCACAACACTCCCCTGGCCCAAATGCCACTAGCCTTGGCCGAGAAGGAGTGCAGAGCGAGAGACAAAGAGGACCCAACAGGTCTGACCCGAGCGAAGAGCATGCTGGGAAGGCTCCTGCAGGGGACGCTCAGCTCTGGGCAGTCGCTGTTCCACTAGGCTGTCACCGTAAAGTCCGTTCCCAAGGCTCCCAGAAAACAGGTGTTGCCATGCCTTGTGAGATCACCTGGGACACCCCAGCAAACCTCAAAGCCAGAGTCCTCTGGCCTAGTCACAGCAGCTGTCTTTTCAAACTCCTCCGCAGCCAATACCCAGCCAGCCCCATGTTCCAGAACAGATCAATGCTTTGGGTCACCTTGCAGTTCACAAAGCAACTGGATAAATGTGTGCTCACTTCGTACTTCCAACGATCCTGTGAAGTATGAGCTAATGTGATCCCCATTTCAAAAAGGAGGCCAAGGCACCAGAGGTCATGTGTAGCTCGCCCAAGGTCTCACAGCTCAGACACAAGAGATGCAGTTCTCAGAGGTGGCCGGTTTTGCCTATGACGCTTTACACTTGGTCCCATCCCACCCAGGAAAATCTCTACGTGTTAGAAAAATAAATGACCGAATGCCGCGGTGCCCGATGCCTGCTCTGGGGGCTGGGGCTCTTTCAGACCGCATTGCCCTCCACAGCTCACCCGGAGGCCCTGGTGGCACATGACTTCCAGACAGATTTCCCCTAAGGTGACATCTGCCAGCTGACCCCAACACAGCCCGGCTTGGCTTGTCCTTTCACCAAAGAAAGAGCTGAGTAGGACAGCTTCTGGCTCTTTCAGTTAATGGGCGTGGTCAGTCTGGGGAGTTACCATTTAGTTGATAAACAGAATTCCTGAGTAAGAAGCAGACCTCAGTTGCAGAGGGTTGTGCGTCTTCCCCCCAAAGCTGGTCTTCAAAGCAAACTCTGGGGCTTCCTACCTGGGACCAACCTGTAGGTCTCCTCTTCCTGGATTCCAAAATTAGTATGTTCTTAAGGATGCCCCCCACCAAAGACAGATGCTTGACAGGAAATACTCCCTTTTATACCTGGAGACAGTGCTTTCTACAATTAAAGGTGGGGGGAATGGAGGCGGCTTAGAGGTACAGCTGGGCCTTTGATTTCGAGGACTGGTTCCCATGACCCGAGTGGACTGGCCAGGGCTGCCTTTCCCTTCACAAAGTAGGAGGTGTGGCATCTCAGCCCCACTAGGGCCTCCCCTGCCTTTACCTGAGGTCCTGTCCTCCAGCTTGATGTAGGCCACCTGCCCTTTTGCAGTGATCCGCAGCCGGCCACTCCATGATGGCTGGTCCAGCTGCCACTCCGCGGCCCTAAGGGGACAAAAACCATGCTGGGGACGGGAATGGGGAGGGCATGTGGGCTGCCTGCTCAGGACCAGAGGCTGGCAAACTTTCTCTGAAAAGGGCCATCCCATCCCTGTCACCACTACCCACTCCGCGGCTGTAGGGCAAAAGCAGTCATCGACAGTACAGGAGCGTGCTGGTGCTTTACGGATTGGAATGGAGTGTTTTCTGCTGAGTGTGACCGTATTTCAGCGCAACTTTCTGGACACTAAAAACCTGAATTTCATATAATTTTCGCATTAAGAAATAGTCCTTCTTTTAAAATGTTCCCCAATTATTTAAAAATGTAAAAACCATCCTTAGCTTGTGAGACATACAAAAACACAGTGGGTCGCAGTTTGCCGACCCCAGTTCTAGACTACAGAGACTTTTTCTCAGAAGTAGGACTTCCAGTTCTCTTTCTGTAAAGGAAGCAGTTCCTGGGCCTGCTGTTTCAGACACTGCCGGGCTGTGGGGGCCAGAGTGATCATTTGGGACCCGTGAGATGATCTCAGCGGAAAGGCAGGGCGGGAGCAATCATATAGCAGAAAGAGAACAGGAGAGCAACTATACGTGTGAGGAAAGTGGGTGGGTGTCCAACAAATATAACCCCAAAGGTGTCCCAGGCCGAAAAAACCCCAGGAAATCACGGACCTATCACAATAGCTTCTTTGGGTACTTTTAAAGCAGTAACTTCACATTTTACTTCTAAGAAGCAGTTCAGTAAAACCCCCAAATAGCAAGAACCTTGGGTGTTTTCAAGACGCTTTTCCTGGAAGTCCCCAAGTGACTCCATTAACTATGGACACAGGTTGTTTTGAAGGCCACACAAATGCAGACTCTCGATTCACAACCAGCAGACTGTTTCAGTTCCTCCTAGTGGGGCAACACAGGCCTTAGATCCAAGCTAAGAGGGGCTCTGAGGGTCAAGGGCAGGGGCTGCCAGTTTCCTCTATGCCAAACCAGCCAGGCTTGACACTTGGGAACCTCACTCTCGGGGGGCCAGGAGGGACCAAACCCATCCTACTGAAGGGGATCAGAGTAGACTGACCATCCGGGTTTGGTGTCCAATCTCCAGTTTGATAACAGAAAGCAAACGTGTTTTTGTAATTGTTTCTCTTGTTGCTTTCATGCTACTTTTAAGTTACACCATGGATGTACTAGGTGTTCAATAAAATAATCTGTTATCTAGAAAATCAGCTACAAGTTCGTGTTAACACAATTGGAAAGTAACAAGAGGCCAGATATGTGGACACTCCACCATTCTTGCGGTGCAGGCCAATCCTGTATTCCAAATCACTGAGACAAACATTGCCTTCAAAAGCGACACCACCCCCGACCCAGGGACACAAAACAGCTACAGACCAGGTTGTCTGTAACAGGTACATCTTTTTTTTTTTTTCTCCTTGTTTTCATAGGTAACGCATAGGCTTGGTAACAAAATGCAAACAGCACAAAAAAAGCATATCGTAAAAGGAAGTCTCCTTCCAACCCCCACTGCCCTTTCCTGCGTTCCCTTCCAGTCCCTACAAGCGCCCTTTCCTGCGTTCCCTTCCAGTCCCTACAAGCATCTGTTTATCCCTCTCAGGGGAACATTTCACTGAAGCAGCGCAGATGCACTCCTCCCAACCGCCACAAGCTGTGATAAGGCCTGAGGTTCGTGCAAGGGAGCTGGGCAGCGAGGGGTCCCTGGGCTCTGGCCATCCGCTTACAGCTCCTGGGACGGGTCCTTTCGGCCAGTTCTGAGCTGTTTTCCTCCCCCTGGGGATTTCCGCCCGTGATAGGACCCCTCCCCCTTCAGGCTTTTCAAGGTTCCCTTCAAGGCCACCAATTAGGGCTGAAAGAAAAGGGCTTGTGACACCACCACCCCCAACCACGCTTGGGGACACGGCTAAACACGGCTCCAACGCCTTCCCCGCGCTGGGAGCCCCGTGCGGCAGACTGAGACCTCCCTACTCTGGCCTCGAACTGGGAGAAACCGCAGTATTACCTCCCGCCTCTCCCCTAAACCGGCCGGGGCCGTCCTCGGCTCCCACGGTGGGCGTGTCGGGCGGCGGGGAAGGGGTTAAACTGGGGTCAGCCTGGCCTTGCGGCAAGCGGTCACCTGTAACCACGGTTGGTGGCTCGCGGCGGGATGCGGTAGACGTGGACCTCCGGCTTGACACAGAGCACCGACTCGTACTCGCCCTCCTCCATCTCGACACCCTCAACCCGCCGGACTTCCGGCTCCTTCCCCGCCTCGGGGCCGGAAGCGACGCGACTCTATGACCGGGTCAGGCTAGAGCGGCAGCTTGCGGGCCTCAGCACGGTTGTCTCCCGCGCGCCCTCTGCTGGCGGCTCTGGCTCAAGACACGCGGCGGACGGATCCTGAAGCCACGTGATTAGGGACAAGCGCTTTTGGGGGCTTCTCGCTCCCACGAGGCTTCATGCGCAGCAGAGAAAACTTAGGTGCAGGCACCACCGCAGTCCGTTGTCTGGTTGTGGATCATCCCCATCCCCTCAACACTTACACTTGGGGCCCAGTTGGCTGAGATTCAAAGCTGTATCTACCTACACAGCTCACCCTGCAGCAAACCCCTCCTCCAGCCTTTACTTCCCTGGGCTCTTCGTGAATGTCCTTCCTTTTCCTGACTCTAGAAGCCTCCATTGAGGCTCCTCCTCGAAGAGAGAGGCTTACCTGACCCACCGCTAAGTGGGGCGCCACCCTTATCCTCCCCCACCACGTGCCCAGGGCCCAGTGTGGCCTCGACTCGACAAAGAGCAAAGTCTACTAATTTAAGTCATGAAAAAAGACTCCCAGTCCTAACTTGGATTTCTCACAGAATGTCATAGGGGATACATTTTGTCCAACCATAGTCAAATTCTAATTCTCAAAATCCCTTCTCCTGTACCATCCTCTCATTCGTTCCACGGTTATTTACTGTTTACAATGTGCCAGGTCCTCCGTGGGGAACAGCTGATCCCAAATCTTTGCTTCCCTGAATGCTCCCAAACTTGCTCCACCCGCATCTCCTCTCTCCTCTCTCTCCTTGTACTCAAGCTGTATAAGTTCTTTATTATAGAATTAATCTAACCTCTTAAAAGATCTTTTTTTTTATTGTGGTAAAATATACATAGCATACACTTTAACACTTTAACCATTTTTGAGAGTGCAATTCAGTGGAATTAAGTACATACACAATATTGCATGACTATCACTGCCGTTTCCAGGATTTTTTCATCTTCCCCAACAGACATTCTGTACCCATTAAACAATAACACCCCATTTCCCCCTTTCCCCAAGCCCCTGGTATCCTCTATTCTGCTTTCTGTGTCTATGAAATTGCCTATTCTAGAAACCTCATATAAGTGGAATCATACAGTATCTGTCCTTTGTATCTGGCTTATCTCACTTACTATAATGTTTTCAAGGTTCCTCCCTGTCATAGCATCTATCAGAATTTCATTCCTTCTGATGGCTGAATGATATTGCACCATGTGGATATTCCACATTTTGTTTACCCAGTCCTCTGTTGATGGACTTCTGGGTTCTTTCCACCTTTTGACTCCTGGGAATAATGCTGCTATGTTTGAGTCCCTGTTTTCAGTTCTCTCAGTATCTACCCAGAAGTGGATTTACTGGGCCATATGGTAATTTTATGTTTAGCTTTTTGAGGAACCACCAACTGTTTTCCTTAGTGGCTGCACCACGTAACGTTCGCACCGGCTCTGAACAAGGGTTCTGATGTTTGCACCTCCTCACCAATACCTCTTTTCCGTTTCTTTGATCACAGCCATCCTGGTGGGTATAAAGTTAACTTCTCTTTATGTGAATTGATTTAACCTCTAATTTCAACTTTGCTCATTACCCTGATTCTCTGCAACAAAGAAGAAATTGAGAAATGACCCAGAAAATGAGATTTCTTCTTCCTTCGTCTTTGATCCTGTCTCTTTATCTTCCTAAAGTCCTGGAGTGTCGAAGTCAGAACTCCCCTTTAAGGGAGGGGGGCAGGAAGCCTGCTTCTCCCTCTCCCGCTCCCCCTGCTTGTGTTCCCTCTCCCGCTGTCTTTCTCTCTGTCAAATAAATAAATAAAATCTTTTAAATAAATAAATAAATAAATAAATAAATAAATAAATAAATAAATAAAAATAAAGGAGGGGGGAGAGATATCGAAAGGGGCAGGGAGGGCACACTCCCACATCGACAATCTTATCCCCTCACATTCCCACCATTACATTTATATGACTGTTCTCCCACCAAACTGTAAGCTTCTATTTTTTTTAAAGATTTTATTAATTTATTTGAGAGAGAGAGAGAAAGCATGGTGGTGGGGAGGGACAGAGGGAGAAGCAGGCTCCCCTCTGAGCAGGGAGCCCAATGTGGGGCTCCATCCCAGGACCCTGAGATCATGACCTGAACTGAATGAAGGCAGCCGCTTAACTGACTGAGCCACCCAAGTGCCCCAGAGACTGTGAGCTTCCTGAATGCGGGACCCTGTCCCTGTCATCTGCGGGACCCTGTATTCAGCCGCACAGGTTTTGGCACAGAGTCAGTGCTCCGTGAATGAGTGAGTAAATGTGTGTGTGTTCAGTTGGCTACATCCCAAAACCAAGTGGCAATTTGGGGACGTGCCACCGCGTTTTCTCTTTCACGCTCTGACTCCTTGCAGCAATACGTGCTGAACAACCCAGGGGAAGAGAGGGTATCCAAGGAATAAAGCACCTGGACTCATTTAGAGTGAGAGAACTTCCAGCTGGGAGAGCATCTAGCACCAGCTCTCGAGAGCTGAACTTTGGGGTGGCGTCCACAATCAGCACCAAGCTCCATCACGTCCACTCTGGAAGCCAAGCAGTGTGAAGGCAGCACGCGGAGACTGGCCTCGCCATGTGGCTGCCGCAGGTAGGAAGCCTTCCCCTCATGAACCTCAGAGGGAGTCACCACTCCGTGCCCGGGGACAGCCTGGCCTGCCAGCGTGTCACAACACTGGCAGCTCAGTTCCGTCTAACATATGCTGGGTGCTGGGTGCTGGCGCCACAGGGATGAAGCCAACCCAGCTCCTGCTTTCATCGAGCTCACAAACCAGAGGACACAGCGAGGAAGAATCTTTGCAATGCATGGCGGGAAGTGCTAGGATGGAGGAATTCCCGGGGGCTATGGGTGCCAAGAGAAGAGAGGCCCACCTTAGCCGGGGGCAGTCAGGGAAGGCTCTCCAGAAGAGGTTACAGTGACAGAATAATACCTGTGAGGTAGGCAGGGCAAAGATTGTTATCTCCATTGTGTAACGGAGGCCACTGAAACTGTGACAAGCCCCAGCAAACCACACTACCCTGCAGTCGGAGGAGGTCAGACAGTCCCTGGACTTCTCAAACCTCCATCTCATAGCTGGACATTGCCCAAAAGGCATTCCTAGACCTCTGCTTGAGAATAAGTGGACCTATCATCTACTCCCAGGTTAATTACATTATTTACCAAAAGAATTCAATTCAACCCAACAGGCAGAGGATAGGCTCAGATAGAGCCCATCCCAAGCACGAGGAGGTGAACAGAGAGGCAAAGTCTTGCTGATTCATCCAGCTGCTTTCTGGTAGGTCCAGGGCCAGGGTGGGGGTTTGGTGTGGACAGCTGTCCTTGGTGGCCTCCTGAAATATATATTATAGGTCACTTACCATTTTTCTCTGCTGTATTTTTTTCCACCATAGACATTTCTAAGAGAAATTCCCCCATTCCTCAGATGGGGAAACCACTTATAAAAGGGCACTCAGTAACAAAACAATCTTGAAAAAGAATGAAATTAGAGAACTCACACTTCCCAGTTTCAACACTTTCTACAAAGCTACAGTAATCAAGACAGTATAGTACTGAAATGATGCTGGACGTGTAGATCAATGGAATAGAATTCAGAATCCAGAAATGAACACTCACATTTACAGTCAGTTGACTTTCCAGAAGTGTGCCAAAACAATTCAATAGAGAAACCATAGTCTTTTCAACAAATGGTGCTGAGATATCCACATGCAGAAGAATGAAGTTGAATCCCTACCTCATACCATATACAAAAAATTAAAAATGGATCCTAGTTTTAGTGTAAGAGCTAAAACGACACAACTTTTAGAAGAAAACATAGACCTAAGTCTTCATGACCTTGGATTTATGTTCTAATAAAAAATAATCTAGGGGCGCCTGGGTGGCTCAGTCGTTAAGCGTCTGCCTTCGGCTCAGGTCATGATCCCAGGGTCCTGGGATCGAGCCCCATATCGGGCTCCCTGCTTGGCGGGCAGCCTGCTTCTCCCTCTCCCACACACCTTGCTTGTGTTCCCTCTCTTGCTGTATCTCTCTGGTCAAATAAATAAATAAAATCTTTAAAAAAAAAATCTAATGGATTCTCAGAAATGACATCAAAAGCACAAGCAAGAAAAAAAAAATTGATAAATAAGACTTCAATAAAATTTAAAACTTTTGTGCTTCAAAGGACAAAAGAGTGAAAATACAATGCACATCATGTGAGAAAATTTTTGCAAATTATATATCTGACAAGGGACTTACGTCTAGAATATACAAAGAACTCTTACCACTCAACAGTAAAAAGACAACTCGATTTATACGTGAATAATGGACTCTAGTAGACATTTTTCCAAAGAAGATATACAAATAGCCAATAAGCACATGGAAAGATGCTCCATTGTGGGGCACCTGGCTGGCTCAGTCAATGGAGCATGCAACTCTTGATCTTGGAATTTTAAGTTCAAGTTCTATGTTGGGCATAGAGATTACTTAAAAAAATATTTATTTATTTTTAAAAATTTATTTATTTTATTTGAGTGAGAGAGAACGTGAGTGCCGGTGAGGAGGGGGAGCAGAGAGAGTCTCAAGCAGATTCCGCACTGAGAGCAGAGCCCAATGGGGGGCTTGATCTCATGACCCTGAAATCATGACCTGAGCCAAAACCAAGAGTTGAATGCCCAACTGACTGCACCACCCAGGTGCCCCAAAAATAAAATCTTTAAAAAAATGAATAAAGAAATGAAGATGCTCCATCTCATCAGCCATCAGGGAGAGGTCAATCAAAACCATAATGGGATATCACTTCATACCCACACCCACTAGGATGGCTAGAATTAAAAAAGGCAGATAATAACAAGTGTTGGTCAGGATGTGGGAAAGTTGGAACCCTCATACACTGCATCTGGGAATGTAGAATGAGGCAGCTCCCTCGGAAAACAGTCTGGCAGTTACCCAAGAGCCTAAACATAGAGTGAGCATATGACCCAGCA